AGTTGTAGTTTTACACCTCTGCCCTTGCATTGCAACATGCTTAATTTGTTACCATATGTATTTCTATGTACACTATTTAAGGTTTGAAGTTTCTTTTTAATCTCCTTCCATGCTTGTCATCTATAACTTACAACTCTGTCCTTGGTTCTTGGGACTTGCTTTGTTCATTTCCATTTATTGTTTATTTTTAAATGAAATGTAATTCTTTATGATTTATTCTAAAACAAAATGTATTTGTTTATGTTTATTTTTGTGTATGATTGGTTTATTTGTTATTTTGCTTCTAACAAGTATCATCAACTTTATCAGGGCATGCTATGGTGTTTTGAGATTTATCATGGAGAGTGGAGCCAAGGGATGTGAGGTATACTTCAATTTTCTCTCTGCTCACTACATGAAACATAATGTGTTCCGGTAAATTCATATATACTTTAATCAGGTGATTGTTAGTGGAAAATTGAGAGCTCAACGTGCCAAGTCCATGAAGTTCAAAGATGGTTACATGATTTCCTCTGGTCAGCCTGTGAAAGAGTATATTGACTCTGCTGTAAGACATGTTCTCTTGAGACAGGTAAAAACTAAAGATTAGTTAGAGCTCTTGTTTTTGATAGTGTCCACTCTCGTTTCCGATGTGATTCTTTTTTGTGTCAGGGAGTACTTGGTATCAAGGTGAAGATCATGCTTGATTGGGATCCCAAAGGAAAGCAAGGTCCAACTACACCTCTTCCAGATCTTGTCACAATCCATCCTCCCAAGGAGGAAGAAGAATACATGAGGCTGTCAGTGGCAGCACCAGTTGAAATTGAGCCTCCGGTTGTTGTGTAGGCAGCAAGCCTCAGTTGCATCAACTTGAAATTTTTCCAAATATTATTATATTTTGTTAATTTTGAGTGTTAGCTTTTTTTGTTTACTTTGGGTACTATAGAGACGTGTTGGAGAATTTTGTTTAATGTTACAATGACAATCGCAAATATCTGACAATTTTGTCCTATTAATAGTCTCTTTTTCCTGGTGCATTTACATTTTTTGTATATAAATGAAGAAAAATGACAATCGCACTGCCTCGTTTCCGTGTAGTACTTTTAGAGGTCGTTTGGTATAGTGTATTAAGAAAAATAATGCATGCATTAGCCTTGTGTATTATAAGCACTTTGTTTGGTACTCTTTTTCAACTTATGTATAACTAATACACTCTATTGTATATTAAGGTGTGTGTATTGCTCATATCATGAATTTCTAGGTATAAGCAATGAAATGGTTTTAATGCATGCATTAATTCATTAAAGATTCAATTGCCCTTCAATATCTTTTTATATCTTTTCCACCATAATAGTGAAGTATTTTTGTAAATAATTTTTTTAATGCATCAAGACAAAGAATGCATAAAAATAATTTATGCGTAATTAATGTAAGTATAACTAATACATGCATTGCTAATACTCTATTTAGTATCAAGACAAAGAATGCATAAAAATAATTTATGCGTAATTAATGTAAATATAACTAATACATGCATTGCTAATACTCTATTTAGTATTATTTTTATACACTACCAAACGATCCCTTAGTCATAATTAAATTTAATAAAGACTCACCGAGTATGTGAAATCAAAAGTAAAAGTTAAGATCACGGAGCTCTTACCGTGCATGTGTAACCTATTTTTTTTTGGCTCTACTCATGGCTGGTGCTCCTTCCTCCAGATGCCTTGGCATTTTTTTTTTTAAGGGAAAAGGGTTAAAAATACACTTCAAACTTTGATTATGTCCTTACCGTTAAAATAAAGTTATTCTTGCCGTCTACATTGACTTTGGTCATGTACTGTTGCCGGTAGGGGTGTACATGACCAGGTTGGTTTGGGTTTTTCAAATATCAAACCAAACCATTTGTGTAAAATTTTTAGATTTATAAACCAAACCAAACTAATTTTTTTTTGGATTTTTCAGGTTTTTCAACCTCGGGTTGGTTCGGGTTTTTCAAATACCAAACCAAACCATTGTGTCGAATTTTTAAATTTATAAATCAAACCAAACTAATAAACCTCGGATTTTTTCAGATTTTTGGATTTTTTCGATAAAGTTTGCATACAAACATATAATTAACTTGTGCTCCAAATATTTTTTTAGTCCAACCAAAATACAATTATCTAAGGTGTTTCTTAAAAAAAAATAACACAAAATATGAGATGTGTACTGATGACACAAAAATATTCAATAAAAAAAAGTAATGAAATCATCATATAAAATAAATATTGCAAAGTCATAATGAAAATGATCATAATTTAGAAGTACTAAATCATGCTAAAAATAAGTTTAATAAATATTAGTTACATTACTAAATATTTAAGGAAAATTAAAATTAGATTATGTATTTTAATTGTCTAAACCAATGTAAAACTAAAGAACAAATATTCAATATTATTGTCATTCTTTGTGTTGAATTGATTTTCTTTTTGCATTAGTATTAATTTGATTTTGATTTAAGTTTTATTATAATTATCAACATCTATGAACTATAATTTTTATTGGACCATTCCGAATTCTAAGTTTTAAACTTGAAATAATATATTAAAAGATAAAAACTATGAAATAGTTAAGAAATATTTTAAAATTATATCAAAGTAAATATTTTTATGTATAAAATAAAATTTTAAAATTACATATATAATGTCGGGTTGGTTTGGTCTCGGGTTGTTTTTTTTTAGTTAAAACCAAACCAACCCAAATATAGTCGGGTTTTTTTCCGATTTGACTCGATTTGCGATTTGATTCGGTTTTCGGTTCTGTTTTGTACACCCCTAGTCGCAGGAGCTCCGATGTGTTTAACTTCAGTTTCACTGGCTACAATTCCTCTATTGGAATTGACTAATGATGAAGATGAAGAGAAGTGAGTTATATGATTAGGTGAGTCAGATCGGGTTAAAATTGAGTATTTTAAGTAAAATCAGGTTATTTTTATTGATTTGAAATTTTCCATCCAATTGAGGGGCACGAGTGAGAAGTTTGTAGACGGCAGGGGTAAGAATAACTTCATTTTAACGATAAGAGCATTGTCAACTAATAAACCAAAGTTGAGGGGTATTTTTGACCCTTTTTCTTTTTTTTTTAATTCGAGAAATACTTCTCAAAGTGTGAGCAAAAATCTTCAAGCTAGTTCACAAAGCATAAATCTTCAAATTAATTCACAAATCTGGCTGAGAGCAGATATCTTCAAGCAAGTCCACAAATTTGACTGTAGTCTTCATTGATCTCAAATTAATAGTCGTTCTCTTTCGGTATTTATCGTTTTTAGGTTAGAAGGAACCCTATAGGCGTGTTTTCCCGATAAAAAATCTAAACAAAAATGAGTCTCTTTCCTTTTCTACCAAGAAATAATATTTTGTGTCCTAAGAAAATATCACCATAGTAGAGACCACAAAATAAATTTTGAGTCCTAATAAAATATGATCTTAGTAGAGACCATAAAATTAATTACTGAAGCTCATTATTATGAAAGTAATTTGAAATGTGATTTGAATTAGTTTTACCATACAAACCATTCCACTAGAAATTTGTAATTGTCCTCCTCCATTTATATTACGAAATTTCTCATTAAACACTTATATAACTTCCCTTGTTAAGATTACAAATACTGATCAATAAATTAATTACTAACAAATTTAATTCAATGATTAGTTTTTTAAAAGCACTGCTTAACTTTCATGTGTCGGCTTTTAAATCTATTTACAAGGTTTGACACAACGAAAACTTATAAGCTTCTTAAAAGACATATAATCAATTTCTATACACTACAACAAATAAAGATATTGCCACAATAATATAATTGTTGTTATATTATATGAATAAGAGCACTTACAATCATCCATTTATATAATTGTCGTTAAAAGTTTTAGCAACTCTAGATCAATGACATTAACTTCATTGCCGCTAATTGTTTTAGTGATAATAAATATTGCCACTAAAAGTTTTTTTGGTTGTTGTAGTGATAATGTGACAACTGGCATGAATTTTATCAACTAACTTATTATTTCATCAATTTGTATTATTATCGTCCAATCTATAAGACATACTGATCTATTTAAGAATCTCACCTTTTAAAAAATCAAAATGATAATTAATATATATATATATATATATAATTCGTAATAATTACGTTGAGATTGAAAATATAAGTACATATAACAATTTAGAGAATATGAATTTACCAGTCTGTCTAAAATATCCATCTCTACTCGGTCATGTTCAATACATACATAATGCACTACCAAAAGAAATCAGAACTTCACAATTCCCATAATCAAGATAAATTATTTAATCTTGTGCTACAATCATACCGATGGGTAGTCCAATTTTTATTTTAGATTGTGAACAAATTTTTTTATACTTATAAGAATTGATGATTTAATCCTCTACGTATAAACTAAAATTCTATATACTAAATTATTTACCATATAAGTAAACCGACACATAAATGAATATATGACCTATTAAATTTTTTATTAAAACTAAATAAAAAATTATTCCATGATAAATAATGTATCTAAATGTATAGTTAATAGTATGTGTCCGAGGGATAATATTAGTAATAGAATTAATAGTGGGGGAGGATAATTTTAAAACTATTTACCAAATAATAGGTGTATTTTTTTTGTCCTTTTTCCAAACTTAAAAAAAGGTTTGACACATTCAATTTATTCTTTCCTCATGCCCTCTAAATTTATAGGTAGATTATAGACATCCATATTTTTCAAGGATTAAGTGAAGTGTGTAATGAATTGAATAAAGTAATTAATTCATAAAGAAAATATTGACTTGACTTTCAAAATTAAAAAAGGAATTAGATTTAGATAATCTTCCTATTCATCTCTTTAAATCCAAAGACAAACTTGAAATGCTATAAAAACTTTGACATCTATCTCAAAATATATATTAAGTAGAGCTTATAGCATATTGCTCCAAATAATAAAGAGGGCTTTCATTTACTTTTTTTTTTTAATTGAAAAATGGAGCAAACAATTGAGAATGAAATTGTTGACTCAAATGGAAAGAATGTTGAGTGGTTTGAAGAGTCTCTTGAAGTAGATCTCAAATGGTCTTTAGCTATAAACAGGTAATTTAACACTTGTAAAGTACATAAAGATTTTAATTAATTTGTAGAATAAAAAAAAGTGTAACCATCAAATGTTGTAGTGTCTTGTACAAAGCAACCACCAAGTTTCAAGATGTGATACTTTTAGACACAAAGCACTTTGGAAAGGTTAGTTGGCTATTGAAATTTTGTATGTTGCCTTTTTTTAGAATTTTGTAAGAAATTAATATTTTGTGTGTAATGCGTATATATGATTTTTTATGTAGGTTTTGGTGATAGATGGAAAAATGCAGAGTGCTGAAAAAGATGAGTTTATATACCATGAAAGCTTGATTCATCCTGCTCTCTTACTTCATGACAAGTATACTACTTATCTCATTTTATGTCTCTGGCTAGTGTACATTGTTTTTATTTTTTTTATTTTTAATTCGATGTTCGATACTCGATGAAAGTGCAAGAGGGGGGAGGAGGGGTGAATTGCCTTTTTTAAAAATAAAAAATAAAAAAATTGTTATGTTTTTTTAAAAAAAAATTCTAGTCGATTAATAGGTTCTAGTAGTTGACTATATGATACACACCTACAAAAATTAAAAAAAGTATTGAACTGAAAATGCTAAAGTAGAATTGATACAAGATATTATTATATTGATTGGGATCCATAGTGGATTTAGTTCAGATCCCTTGGATTGAAAAAGTGTTTGTGACGATCCAAAAACTCAAATTGTGATAGCGCCTACCAAAATCGACAGGCAGGTAAGCCAATTTATAGCCCCAAACGGCAAGTAACAGGGCCAATTGGCTGAAACCTTTAAATCAACAAAAAATAACAACAAAATATGAAAATAAACAACGGAACAGAAGAAATGATATAAATATCTAATTCCATGACCTAGTGGGCGATGGTACAAAGCTACTAAAAATAAGTACAAACTTCAAATAAGCAAAATAAGTACAAATTTGTCTCGACACAAACGTTTTATTTGCAACAGTACTATGATCTTGTTCAACACAAAATAGGCAAAAAAAATTATTTACCTTTTATGGTATTTTTATTTATTTATATCTTGTAACTAAATAGAGTCCACAATATAATAGTTGTGGTGATTAGAGCTACTTCATTTCTTCTTCTTGTGTAGCCTTGAAGGCTATTGTTCTCATTTGTTTAAAGAGTTTAAACTTCATGTTCACAAGAGAAGAAACCTTAGCATGATCTTTTTTTCACCTGCTATTAGATAGTTGTTAGACTTTGCTATGTTGAAAATGCAAAAAGATCAGGTGGGGTGAATTGCCTTCTTTTTATTTTCTACTTGACTACTACTATATGAAACACACCTATAGAAATTACAAAGTAGTACAAAAACTGAAAATGCTAAAATAAAATTGACACAAGATATATTTATACTGATCGATCGAGATCCATAGTAAATTTTAGTCCAATATATCCCCTTAAATTAAATTGTAAGGATGTCCTCCTTTAGTTCTTGAATAATAAATAATTTTCTCTTATCTCTTTTTCGAGTAAACTATTATATCACTAGACGGACATCCTATTTATCCCATTATATATAACCCTTGGTAATTTTAATTTGTTTTTCATTTTTCTACTCCATTAACATTTTTTTTTTTTTTTGTTGAATTGTTTTATTTTGGATATAATATAATAATGAGCAGTCCAAGAAGAGTGTTTATCATGGGGGGAGGAGAAGGGTCAGCTGCAAGAGAGGCTCTTAAACATGACAACATTCACAGAGTTGTCATCTCTGATATTGATCAAGTAATTATATCTCTTCTATTTCTTGTTTGTTCTTCCCCAATTGTATCTATACTGATATTTGATGTTTTTAAAATCTTATTTAGATGTTACAAATAAAATTAAGCAAAAAAGATATTAGTAATATCAAAAAGAGGAATATATTTATTAACTAATTTTAATTGAAAAATAGAGAGAATATGAATGTAAAAACAAAGAAGAAGAAGGCAAACACCAACCGTCTTTTTCTTATAAAGTTAGGACCATAACTGATGGACACCCATTTAGACACAATTTTTTTCTTTTAAATATTTATATTTGAAATTTTCTAAGTGCATAACATTAATCCATGGACGACCAGTGGAGTTCATAAAAGAAAGAAAAGAAAGGTCCGCGACAAAGTTGTCCCCTCTCTCCATATCTCTATTTACTGGCTGGGTGCAGATAACACTGTAATAATAACAAAGCCAAATAGAGATACTGTTCGTTCAGAATTGATTCAGATGGCGACGGACCACGGAAAAAATCCACCTTATTCATGCTCCGCACAACAAACTTGCCCGGTCAATATTATATGTCTATGCTAAACTTGGTGATAATTAACATAAATATATATATATTTTTTTTATCTTTTATACATAATATATTTTTTATAAAATATTATTACACAATATTTAAGTATAATTATTATAGAAATGTAATTTTACATAGAATGTCCCATTATAATTAATAGGTAGAATATTATTATATAAAGAAGTAAAAAAAACGAAAATTTAGTTTGAGAAAATTCAAATCGTTATAATGAAATAATGATATTACACGATTTAACTTGTGATTAAGCACTCAATCTCCTAAAGTATACAATGAATAATATTTGTGTATTTGCAGGAAGTTGTGAATATTTGCCGTAAACATCTTATGGCAAATCAAGAAGCTTTTGCCGATTGTAGGCTTCATGTCATCATCAATGATGCTAAGTAAGCCAAAAACCATCTAATATCTATCTTTGTCTATTAGAATATATTGCAAAGTATCGAAAATACCTCTAAATTTGGTGTGAATTAGTTTTGTCTCTATTTGACTAGCTGAACTTGAAAACACCCTCGATCTGCTGCATGGCATAGCAAGTAGTTTCAAATTCTTGTATAATCATGTGACTTTTAATAAATAAGTGAGGAAATTGTTGCAAACACTGTCGAATTTAGGGATGTATTTACCAAGATCAGAGTGTATCTAAGTTCAATTAGTCAAATAAATAAGTATTTTTAAGACTGTCAATAATTCAGACATGAAACTAATAATTCGCACCAAGTTTAAGAATGTTTCCGATTCTTCTATCAATCTTTAAATATATTAATTGTATCTTTGTGCATTAGGGTGGAGCTGGAGAAGAGTGATGAGTATAAGTATGATGTGATAGTTGGAGACTTATGTGATCCAAGGGAAGGAGGGCCTTGCAATCATCTTTACCTCAAATCTTTTTACCAACATATTATTAAGCCCAAACTTAATCACAATGGCGTCTTTGTCACTCAGGTTAATTAACTTCTTTAAACCATCTTAACAAGTAATTTAACTTAATTAATTATATATTGCCACTTGTTCTTGCAGGCTGGTTTTGCTGGAGTTCTCTCACATCAGGCCTTCTTCTCATCAGTTTACAATACTGCTAAACAAGTCTTCAACCGTAAACACTATTCTCTCCGTTTCAATTTGTCATGAAAATACAAATTTATTCCCATAATTTTTTAAAAATTATTTTTCGTTATACTATAAATCTTCTCATATTTATCCTTGTTATGCAATATTACTACACCAAATATTTATAAATCGTCATGCAGATGTTATAGCTTACACCGCTCATGTTCCATCTTTGGCTGATACACGTGGATGGGTTTTGGTTAGTCAATTTAAACCTCATAATAAATTAGTACTCTATCCCTTGATTAATTAAATTCATAATCAGTGGCTTAATTATCCTACAGGCTTCAGATCAACCATTGAAACTAGATGCTGAGGTGATTAACAACAGGATTAAAGAGAGGATTAAAGGATCAGATTTGCAATTTATTGATGCTGCTTTCATGCTTGCTTTTACCGTTATGAACAAGACTGTTCATACAACGTAAGTCTCAATACTTCCACTTTACTTTATATATTTTTTGATAAAAAATCGAATGTCATATTTTAATCCCTAAATCTGTAATTTTGGATGATAATCGGATCGAAATCTATATTTGAAGGTCAAGAACGTACACACAAATTATAATGATTAAATATTATTATTTTTTATATGCTAAAAGACTTGCTTGTAAGGATAATTGAAATGAATTGGAAAATAAATGAACATAAAAGAAAAGGAATTCTTATTAATTAAGCAATTCTTGACGAAGTTGTTGCTGGAAAATAGAGAAGAAAAACACTTTCAATCACCTCTTTTTTTGAAAGATAAGTAAAGGAAACGATTCTTCTTTACTTTACTCTACTTGTGTACATAATAAATCTAACTCACTCATTTTTATTTTGTTCTAAATTAAATATATTCTAATTCTTTCGAATTTTTTGAAAATTCAAATTCTCCATAAAGGTAAGTGATCTTGATCATACCATAAAGGAGAAACACTCTTAATCATTCAATTTAATTTTTTAAGACAAGTAAAGGAGATGATTCTTCTTTATTTTTCTTAACTTGCTTACATAATCAATCACTCTTTGAATACAAGTGAACTTCTATCTACTTGCCTTTTTTTGTCTTTTTCTATCTATTTGACTTATATTTTATATCTAGGGATTTATAGAACCATCCTAGTAGTTAGGTTATGCATCATATATTCAACAATACATGTATTCAACTTACACTATTATCCTAAATACATGAGTTAATTAAATTCATGCATCACGTGCACAAATCAAAAACTCTTTTTTTTTTTTTAAAAAAAAACAAGGTTGATCACATTTCAACAATTGCTTTGTAGTCCGATAGAAAAAGAAAAAGCCTTGTTTATACGAATTTGGTAGTGGTGAGACAAAATTGAGATGAGTTATAAGAGAAGGGAAGGTGTATTTTTATAGTCTAAGACACTATGTAATGTCTTTGCGCATTTTAAATCCCTTAATAATGATCATTATTTACACGTTAAAACTATTACATACTTGGATGTATAATTGCGGAGTGAATCCCAACGATGCCTTATAAGTACATTATTTTTAATCCTTGTTACTAATAGTTTAGTCAAAACACTTTCCAATTTGCTAATATAATTTTTAATCTTTTTATTTTTTACTCATCATCAACCAGACATCAAAAAATATTTTTTCATCACTTAAATGTGTATTTGTTAAAAATATTCAAAGGTTATATTACTTTACTAATTTGTTTACTTGGATATTTTAGTTGTATTTTAATTTAGTGATTTGACAATATAAATAATTCAAAAATCTAGGGGTACTTAATCTTTTGACTCATTGTTGACAACATAATTATTTTTTTAATACAAATTGCAATAAATATGTATATTTATTTTTTTTACTTTCCTTGTTGCAGGCTCATGAATGAGACTAATGTTTTAACAGAAGAGAATGAGAAGTCCCTCCATGGCCATTGATTGCTTGCTGCTGATAACTACCAATAAAGTCTAAAAATTCAGTTTAGTTTCTATGAACTATATATATTTTTATGCGTAACAGACATTAGCGGTAATATTTATTGTCGCAACTAAGTTAATACTCTGGTATTTAGAGTCACTAAAACTTTTAGTGACATTTATATAGAGTGTTGGTCATATTATATTATTATTACTAAGTAGAATATATTGACAATTATATTATTGCCGCAAAATCCTTTATTTGTTACAGTGTATCCATGTGAAATACACAAAATATTTGCACATTACATAAGCGATCTTTTCAGCGTTTAGAATTTTCCTATAGCAAAGCCCAAGTCATATAGGACTTGCTTGGACTTGGGATGAGCTGACTGAGAAAGAGAATGACCATCGCCAGAACGTATTGGATGAAATAGGGATAACAACAATAAAATTAGAGATCATCATTCTACACATATTGTGATAATACTAGTGCCGTAGCCTATCTAAATATATTATGCATCATTCTAAGGCAAAGCATATTAATATCATATATCATTTTATTAGAAATCATGTTGAAAATGTTAATTTTTTATTAGAATTTATGGATTCTAAAAATTAATTAGCTGATAAATTTACAAAATCCCTACTTGAAGAAAAAATGTTTCCTTTGCAATTGTCTCAATATTACTTCTTACATTTAGCAGGTCGAGGTGACTAAAACTTGAAGGCAAACGAATAGGTAAAGACTATTCATCAGTGGTTTGATACAAGTCGATACTTTCTTGTCCGAAAATAAGTGTTATTTTAGCTTATTGCACATTCATTAAAAAATTAATTACTCCTTTTGTTTTATATTATTTGCTCCATTATTGATATACATCCTTTTTAGAAAATCTTAATTAGAGGTATATTTTATTAAATTAATTTTAGTGTTGTTTTAGAACTTTAAATTTGATTATTACTATTTTATGTAGTCATTTAATACTATGGTTAATATTAATTTTTTTTAAATAAAATTATCTTGATTTGTTAAAATGGACAAATAAAATGAACATTTATTTTTGGCATAGGGGCCAGTAAAATGAAACCGAGGGAGTAAGGAGTATAGTTTACTAAGTTTCTCTATTATTATTATTTTGAAAATAGAGCATGATGTTCTTCAACACAAGGGTATAATTGAAAAAACATATTAATTTTTGTCATAAATTTCTAAGATGACACATATTATTATTTTTTATTTTACTAAAGTGACATTTATTTTGAGACGAATGAGTATTAATTAGAAAATTCGTAGCACTCTTTCCTAGTATGATCGACCAGGGGCTCATTAGGGTAACAATTTCACAACGAAAAGTATTATGTTAATACAAATGTCATATAAAATATAGAGAAAATGCATGGATTCCTTCTTGAATTTATCTAAAAAAATTGTATACATGCTTAAACTAACATAGCGATCTATAATATATCTTTACTATTTAAAAATGAATTTATTTACTCTCTAAAATTGACGTGACAAAATAATTTTAAAAAATAATAATATGTGCATTAGATAAAATTAAAGTTAAAAAAATATAATCAAAATCAAAATCCTCCTTACAATCTGATACGCTCAAATTACACCTCCCTAAAGAAGTATAAGCGATCGTTATCAAGTAAAGAACCCAACTTGTAGGTTGGGGTCGATCACACGAGGAAAATGGTTTAGACTTTACTTTTAACCAACAATTATATTCAATTAGCCAAAGTACTTCCAGAAACAAGTAATTAAAAGGGGGGAATTTGTAAAACAAATTGTAAGAATTTAGTAAGTAATCAATAAACAAAAGTCAATTTCAGTTGTTATCAAGATGAGAAAATTAACTAGGGTATACGTGTTCACCACAAGCTCATAACGCAGTAATTCTAGTAATCGCAATCCTTTCCTAGTGTATTACATGCAAAGTGATAAGTTAGGTATCTCTAAATCCTTGGTCCGGCATCTAGAGAATTTCACCCCGCACCTTGGTCCGGCTACGTGTGTATAATTTACTAACCCTTACCTTTACCTCATATTAGACATCATAATCGATGTTTGGCTTAGTTATTACTTCGCACCAATCGACACTAGCCTATTAGATAGTATCACACTAAATCTATGTTGATAATTCTTTTCTTATGAACTACCTCCTTGGTCCGGCAATTAATAACAAGGCGAGTTCTAACGCGTGCACTCGTTAAAAAGACTTCTAAACGAAAGAATTATCAATGCATGCAAAACACTATTCAAGAATTACTTATTTACTATTCATACTTTGTTAATCGATCATGGTTCCCACAACCCTAGTTATGAAAGTTAGCTACTCATTATCTCAAAAAACACAATCAAAATTTATTAAAATAAATATGCTTGTGTTAATCATAAAAAGTTAAGAACAATAGCTAAACTATCTTTTATTAATCACGAATACAAATAAATAATAAAGGAGAAGAAAGAATAAACCACAATTCGCCGGCCTCCTCGGCGGCTCTTCCAAAATTCCTAAGCTAGAAGAAAATTTATATTGTGTCTTGTATCTTGGTTCTTGGCCTCCTC